GGCTACTCTTTTACCAACGAACAGTGGGAGTGACCGTCACTTATAACGCCCCCACGGCTGAAAGGGCGAGCATGTTTGGTATGACTCTTCGTGTGAGTAAAACAATATTAGTTAATGATTTATAAACAACAGCTATACATCATATCTTAACGACGCTCTTACTAACTGAATAAACCATGCAAGAAAACACTGTAGGCCAATCAAAGTCTGTTTCTAAGTTGGTTTACGTTATGACAAAGAAATAAAGCTAATCAGAAATTTGACTAGGATAAAGAACAATAATATTTAAATAATTAACGTAAATTCTCGCCGTTACTTTTATATGAAAAATCGACTGGTATATGTTAGAGAAAAATCAGTAGACAATTTATTGATAATAGAAATTAAACCAGAAAATCTCAGTGTATTTCTCATAGCAAATGATAATCACTCAGAACTGATTCTTAGCAGTATAACAATATGAAAAATTATTGTATTGTTTTTAAATGAACAACACACTTTGCATAAAACAGTAAAGATCCCTGCCGAAAAAAAGGAATACTCTATAAAGTATATTATCATTACAGGTTCTAATTTTCTTTTATATGCTGTATTTCTAAAGGGCTTCAACTGCCGATGCACATGACATAAACGACGTGCCACATAAAACAGTTAACCCTACTGTAGCTGAACACCACTACACACTAAAAATCAACAACGTAATTATTAAATGTCTTTCGGTAGATGTTATTCTTATGAACCAGCAATAAATATTTTCTGAATTACAAAAGATACCCCGGTGATACTACCTGGTACTTAGAAAATATCTGATAACTCTCCTATATATTTACCAATAATGACTACTATTGCGAAGTGAAACACATTCTACTGTTTGTCAGGATTTTCTAACTACATCTAATAGGTGTTAAACCTAATAGAAATAGTGAAATATAAGTAAAATAGCTGCAATATATTTTTCAAAGAAACTAGATATTATTATAGATATTGTTAATAAGTTAAATCTGGAGACGAAGGTTGTTTTGGTTGTGAAGCTTCTTTGAATAATGATGCCAAGTATTGATAAGAATGCTGATTTTTTTTTCGTACGTGGTAGAAATTTGAAGATGCTGGAAGAAACATTTGTTTCTATTTATCCTACAAGTAGTATTAAATAATGATGCATGGTATGACGATCGTTGTGAATATATTCTATTGTGTTATCTCAGGTCCACTGATTTCCTCTTGAGTAATTTGGTAGGAACCGCAAAATGACAGGAGGATCAACAGAAAATGATTTATGGTTCAAAATATAGATTATCTTAACGTTGATTGAGTTTTGAGAAAAGAAAGATACTGGACACAATGTTCTACAAAACAAAACAATCTTTATTTCAACGAAAACAACAATTTAACTCTTTAGAACGAAGATAGTCGAATTCGACTCACCTTGGAACTTCCTTATAATCATGAAACTGTACATACCATACTTCTGAATGTAGTAAGTGTATCTTCAAGACGTTTGATAAGCTTTTAATAAATATTACAAGTCTTTTGTTCAAAAACGAAAATATTTTAATAAAGTATTTTTACTAAAGATTTGTCTGCGAGTTTACGAAGCGTTTACTAAGTCAGTCTGAGTGAGAGGTGATTTTCATGTTAAGAATAAAAATACTTATTTCATTTTACACTTTCATATTTCGTTTGTATAATCTCTAGTGCCTTCTAAATGACTATCAAAAGTTTTTAAATAAAAACGTTACATTTTATCTCTTATTCTCTTTATCCTAACACTAACTGTGAAATCAACAATTTATTTTGAAATGAAGAGTTGAAAAATATGAAATAAAGTGAACAATACATTTTCTTCTTCTTTGAATGCATAATTGTTTTGAGATTTCATTGTACTTATCTTCATAATTTCAACTGTTTATTTTATAAAAGCCCCCCCCCCCAGTGGCACAGCGGTATGTCTGCGGACTTACAACGCTAGAAACCGGGTTTCGATACCCGTGGTGGGCACAGCACATCTAGCCCTTGTGTAGCTTTGTGCATAATTACAAACAAACAAATTTTATAAATCTGTTTTTTTTTAACTTTATGGTTTTATTACATGGCTTGTACCACGGAAGTAGGATAAAGCGGCTTATTCATCTGTGAAAAGCTATAAATTACAGTTGGAAAACATTAACAGTTTCTTGTAAAATAAACGTTATTTGCATGTGAACTATGCAAACTTTGCACTCGCACATGTAACTCTATTAGGCTTCTAAGTTTTTGTCCAAAAGTCAATTAATGTACCTTTCAATTATGTATTTCATAAAACAAAATATATTAATCACTAGAACAGAGTTTCCTCAAAATACTGTAATTTATATCGATTCCAAACTATGCTAAAAATAGGTTTAAAAGTTATGTTACTGTTCAGATCAATAACTTTGCTTAATACAAATCAAATAC